ACACGTCCGGCCATGCTGTTTGAAGGAGTATCCAGCGACAGCCTTGCTTGAAAAGGAGCCGTCATCCATCCCCGTGCCAGTTGGACACTGTTGAAACGAATGTGCGCGGCGTTGAGGCGAGAGCCACACGCAGGATACAGGACCACTAATGGTGGGCAAGGCTCATGCGAAGCGCCCTGACCACCCTGCCCACATGTCCTGTGTTGCGACGACGAGGAGTTATCGAGAACTCCTACAGCGAACCACGCCACCTTCGCCCCATGGTTTTGGAAAAGCATGTGTGGCCAAACGTTGGGCCGAAGTCTGGCCAAGATATTGATGTGTTCCCCCAGCCGTCGTGAAAACCCTCAGGGGAACGCTTGGGGGAGGAGGAGAGGAGGAGAGGAGGAGGAGGAGGAGGAGGAGGAGGAGGAGGAGGAGGAGACCGCTTGGGGCCCTCTCGGGGCCTCCTGGATGCTTCTTGGGAGCCTCTTGGGGCCTCCTGGATGCTTCTCGGGGGCCCCTGGGGGGCCGCTCGTGGGAGCCTCGCGTGGCCTCTCGGGGGGCCTCTCTGGGGGGGCCGCGGGGGCCTGCGAAGGGCCCCCCACTGGCCCGCGCACCTCCGGGCCCGTAGGAGGGCCCTCTTTGGGAGCGTTTTCGGGCCGCCTTAGGGCCCTCTTTGGGCCGTCTTGGGGGCCTCCTCCTCCTCCTCCTCCTCCTCCTCCTCCTCCTCCTCCTCCTCCTCCCCCTGATCCTCCTCCTCTTCCTCCTCCTCCTCCTCCTGGGCCCTCTTCGGGCCGTCTTGGGGGCCTCTTGGGCCGTCTTGGACCCCCATTGGGCCGTCTCGGGCCCCTCTCGGGGGCCTTTTGAGCAGTCTTGGGACTCTGTTGAAGGCCTCTCTGGGGCCGTCATGGACTGCCGTAAGCCCGACAAGTCGGGGGCCCGAAAAGCAATTAAAGTTGTAGCTGAAATCAATGATGGTGGCTTCTTCGGGTCCTCCTGGAGGGTCTCTTGGAGCTCTCTTGAGCTGTATATGGGGCCGTCTTAGGACCATCTGGCTTGAAGGCCAGATCGGCCGTCTTAGAGGCCGTCCTGCGGAGAAGCCATTGGGATCTTAATTTTCCAGGTGGCCGGCTGGATGACCCCAGACCCCATCGGGATTTCTTTGGGAGGACCGAACACAATTAAACCTTGGCACGCCAGGCATCCTGAGCCACAGGGGGCGGCGGAATCACCGCCGCCCCCTGCCCTTTCGGAAGCGCCCATGCGGCCTAACGTTAGGCCGAAGTCTGGCCAAGCTATTGGACTATGTGTTCCCCCAGCCGGTGTGGAACCCCTTAGGGGAAGATTGGGGAGAGGAAGGAAAAGGTGGAGGAGAGGAAGGACAAGAAGGAGGAGGAGGAGAAAGAAGAAGAAGAAGAAGAAGCCTCTCGAGGCCCTCTGCGGGCCCTCCGCGGAGCGTCCTGGGGGCCTCTGAGATGCCTCTTGGAGGCCTCCCAGGGCCTCTTGATGGCCTCGTGGGGGCCTCTTGGGGCCTCAAGGGGACCTCCTTCGGAGGCCGTCTTAGGGCCCTCTCTGGGCAGTCGTGGATCTCCCTTTGGGCGTTTTACCGCTGTCTTGGAGGTCTATGGGGCCGTCTTCGGGGCCCTCTTCGGGGCCTCTTGGGCATTCTTGGGGCCCTCTTGGGTAGTTTTGCGCGACTCTTGGGGGGCCGTCTTGGGGCGATCTTGGGGGGCCAAGGGGCCGTCTTCGATTGTCGGGAGCCCAAAAGGCGAAAACGCTAATAGATTCGAAACAAGTAGAATAGCAGTGATTCTGGACTCCTGGGGGTCCTCTTGGAATCCTTTGGGGCCGTCTTGGGCCGTCTTGGACTCTCTTGGGCCGTCTTGGAGGCCGTCTTGGATCATCTTGGGCGGATTTGGAGGCCATCTTGGACCATCTTGGAGGCCATCGGAGGCCATCGTAGTCCATCTTGGCCTTCTTGGACGCCATCTTGAGCCGTCTTGGAGGATTTGTTCGGGACTTTGCGCTCCTGGAAGGGCCTCCCGGGACCCCGGCGGGACGGGCCAATGCGCCAGGGGGAGTTCTTTTCGAAAAAGACCCAAAACCAAAACCGAGAGGTCTAGCACGCCAGGCACCCTTGCGATGAATGGGCGGCGGATCGAAGACGCCTACGGCGAATCACCGCCGCCCCCTGCCTTTGTGGAAGCGCCTATGTGGCCGAACGTTGAGGCCAGACCTGCCAAGCCATCGGACCATGTGTTCCCCGAATCGGTTTGGAAAGCCTTCGGGGAACACGTGAGCGTCTTGATGGTCATCGTCGCCGTCTTGGAGGCCTCTTGGGCGATCTTTCGGCGATCTTTGGGGGCTCTTGGGCCGTGTCGGGCCGTCGGAAGGCCGAAAAAAGGGAAATGCCCAAATCCATCAAAAACCTTGGGAAAATCAGTGATTTTGGCATCTTTTGGCCTTCCTGGAGGCCCTCTTGGGGGCCTCTTGGGCCCTTTTGGGCCAGCTTCGAGCGAACTTCGGCCATCTTGGTGGGTTCCTGGCACGTCTGACGCCGTCGGGAGCCGTTTTGGGGGCCTTTCTGGGCCAACGGGGGACCCTCTTGGGGCGCTCCAGGGCCGTCTTGGAGGCCATCTTGGGCGTCTTGGAGGCCATCTTGGGCGTGTTGGAGGCCTCTTGGGCCGTCTTGGGGCCCTCTAGGGGCCATCTTGGAGGCCACTTGGGCCATCAGGGGGCTCTCTTGGGGGCCTCTTGGGCGATCTTGGGGGCTTCTTGGGCCGTCTTGAGCCGTCGGAGAGCCGAAAAGGCGCAAATGCCAAAATCCTTCAAAAACCAAAGGAAAATCAATGATTTTGCCCTCTTCGGACTCTCCTGGAGGACCTCTTGGAGGCCTCTTGGGCCGTCTGGGAGGCCTCTGGGGGGCCTCTTGGGCCGTCTTGGGCCGTCTTGGACTCTCTTGGGCCGTTTTGGAGGCCGTCTTGGACCATCTCGGGCGGACTTGGAGGCCATCTTGGGCCATCTTCGCGATTTTTTGAGGATGTCCCGAGCGAAACGGCCGTTTTTGGGCACGGTGGCGGGACGGGCCGGAGCCCACTGGGGAGTTCTTTTGGAAAAAGAACCAAAACCAAAACCTGAAACGTCCAGCACGCCGTGCACCCCTGCAAGCAGGGGGCGGCGGATCTAGTGATCTTTGGCCCATCCCGCCACCGTGCCTAGGTTGTGAGTCACTGGTCTCTCTAGGGCCTTTTTGGGGAGATCTTTGTGGAGCCTCTTGGGTGCGCCTGGGGGGTTCCTTAGGGGCCTCCCAGGGGCATATAGGGGGCCTGCTTGGGGTCTCGGAGGTCCTCGTGGGGTGGAGGGCTCGAAAAGTCACTCTGGGTTCCCTCTCTTGAGGCCCCCCTTGACCACCTCTTAGGCCGTCTCCGCGGCCAGATCGGAGGCTTCTCGGGTCGTCTTGAGGCGGTCTTGGGGGCCTCTTCGGCTGTCTTGGAGCGATGGAAGCCCCAAAATGCGAGAACGCTAAATTTCTGTTCAAACAAGAAACAGTGGAAAACAATGCGTTTCCTGTCAGGCCAGCATCAGGGCATTTTGGAGCACTCGTGGGTCGTCTAGGGGACCTTTTGGACCGCTCTTGGGGCCCTCTTGGGACCCTCTTGGCCCGTCTTGGGGCCCTCATGCTTCAGGAAAGCGATGCGGAAAGCAATGTGAAGCCCCTACAGTCACGCGGGAAGCCCTTAAAGTCACGCGAGCAGCCCAATTAATAACCAGGACTTCGGGGCTGTGCGCCCCTTAGCGAGCATTCCATTCCTCAGCATTGGGGACTCTAGGGGACCGGAAGACGCTCAACTTCGTGCCCAGCGGCACGGCAGCGGATTGACAAGGACGAGAGGCTGAGGAGGAGGAGGAGGAGGAAAAAGAGGAGGAGGGGAGGAAGAAGAGGAGAAGGAGGGAGGAGGAGGAGGAGGAGGAGGAGGAGGATAGTAAACCAACGATGCATGAGCGATGCTACAATACACCCTCCCGTCCCAAGTCCCTCAGCAGCGCCCTCTTTTTAAAGGCCTGCACAGTTGGGCCTGCCGTGTTGGCCAGGGCCCTGCATAGAAAGGGAAGTGTTTTGCATCCTTCTGGCGCGTGATCAGGCATGTGGAAAGCGACGATCACACAATCGATCGAGGTGTGCAGCGATATCCCCTTTTCGGAGAATGATCGCCTCCAACCCGTGCAACTCTTGCATTTGGTCACACTTGTGGCTATGGACTTCCAGGAAGTTTCAAGTGATAGCTCAATGCTGAAAGCGAGCTGCAACTGTTGCAAGAGTTTGCGACGAATGTGCGCGGTGCCAAGGCAAGAGCCCCACTTTGAAGAAGAATTGCCTTCCATCCTTGAAGCACTTGCCACATTTGACAAAGAGTGTGAACGACGCTGAGGCGAGAACCACATCTTGAGAACGACCCCGCTTCCATCCTCCACTTGCGAAACGACTGCTCATGATTAAGACGAGCGCGCGCGGCGCAAGGGCGAGCGCCGCAGTTTTCAAACGACCTGCGCTTCAGCCCTGAAGCTGCTGCAAGCGTTTGAGACGAATGCGATCGGCGCTGAGGCGTGAGCCACATCGTGAAAACGACCTGTGGCCCATTTTTGAAACTGTTCCAAATCTCGAGCTTCAGGATCATGAGCGGCGAGGCAGTATCAGGCGAAACACCCAGCCCGCCTTGCCGACACGCTTGGCCGTGCGACAGGGAGGAGCTGCTCATGGGAGGAAGAGGAGGGAGGGGAACAGGCAGGAGGACAGGGGAGAGGAAGGCGGGAGGGCCAGGCGGGGATGCAGCTGGGCCGGCGTCGAGGCTTGGCAGGGACCAGTGCTGGGCTTGGGCTGGACGGGGACGCCTGGCCATGGGACGCTGGAGTCGCGGCCAGGGCAGGGTAGGGGCCAGGGCTGGGCCAGGACGCGGGGGTGGCGCCAGGTCAGAGCCGCTTCACGGCCAGCACATTTGCTTGGGATGGTCTGATCTCTGCAGGATCCCTGGGCGCTCCCCCACAGCGACGAAGCGGATCCAGCGCCCTGGCTGAATTCTTCTGGGCGCCTGATCAGCGACTACCGCAAGAACGTGCGGAGCGTGGCCTTTGTCGTAGATACGGAGAACCCCGCGAGGTTCAAGTTCATCCTCATGACCTCGACCGAGGCGCAGAAGATGCGCAAGTTCTGCAGTAGCGCCACGAAGTACGACGGTCAGATGCCAGACATGTGGCAACGCTTCCATTGGTCGGACGACCTCTTCAAAGATGCGAAGAAGACCGCAGGGAAATTGCTAACACCCACCGAAAAGAAGGAAGGTGAGGAGGAGGAGGAGGAGGAGGAAGAGGAGGAGGAGGAGGAGGAGGAGGAGAGGGAGGAGGAGTAAGAGGAGGGCGCAGAGGGAGAACGGGAAGGAGGAAGGGAGGAGGGAGAGGAGGAGGAGGAGGGGGAGGAGGAGGAGGAGGAGGAGAAGGGGTAGGAGGAGGAGGAGGAGGAGGAGGAGGAGGAGGAAAGAGGGGAGAAGAAGGAGGTGAGGGAGAAGGAAAAGGAGGAGGAGGAGGAGGAAAGAGGTGAAGGAGGGGAAGGCGGAGGAGGAGGAGAAGGAGGTGAAGGAGGGTGAAGGGGAGGGGAGAGAAAGGGACGGGAGAGAGCGGGAGGAGGAGGAAGAGGAGGAGGAGTCATCGAAGCATGCGGTGGACTCCCGAAGAAGGAGACGAATAAGAAGAGGAGGAGGAAAAGGAAGAGGAGGAGAGGGAGGGAGAGGATGGCGAAGGCGAGGAGTGGAGGAGGAGGAGGAGGAGGAGAAGCTTGTCTAGGGCTTGGGTCTCGCAGTAGGCGGGGTCGGCGTGCTTCCTTTCAAATACTCCCCCTCCTTCATCGGGAACCTCCGCGCCCGAGGGAACACGTTTGATAAGTTTTGTGATATTGCGGTTCTATGTACCGCATAGACCACCCTTCGGGTGATAAGGAGGTCAGGGGGGGAGGGACCAACGTCGCACTCGATTGATCTCACTATCGAACTCACTACCGATCTCACAATCGATCTCAATCGATAGATCTCACCATCGATCTGACTATCGATCCCACAATCAATCTTACAATCGATCCCACAATCGATTTCACATTCGGTCTCGCTATTGATCTCACAATCGATCTCGCATTCGATCTGACGATCGATCTCACTATCAAACTCACTATCGATCTCATTATCGTTCTCACATTCGGTCTCACTATCGATCTCACTATCAATATCACAATCGATCTCACAATCGATCTCGCATTCGGCCTCACTATCGATCTCTCTATCGAAGTCATTACCGATCTCATCATCGATATCACTATCGATCTCACTATCGATATCACAACCGAACTCACAATCGATCTCACATTCGGTCTCATCATCGATCTCACTATCGAAGTCACTACCGATCTCATTACCGATAGTGATCTCACTACTGACTCAATCGATCGATCTCACAATCGATCTGACTATCGATCGCACAATAGATTCCACAATCGATCTCACATTCGGTATCACTATCGACCTCACTATCGATATCACAATCGATCTCACAATCGATATCCCATTCGGTCTCACAATCGATCTCATTATCGATCTCACATTCGGTATCACAATCGATCTCACAATCGATCTCACAAGCGATCTGACATCCGATCTCACGTTCGATCTCACAATCGATATCACTACCGATCTCACTATCGATCATCGAAACAAAACATCAACATCGTCATCATCATCACCATCATCATCATCCATATCATCACCATAATCGGGACACCGACGGGGCACCGGCGGGACACCGCAGGCCCCCGGCCGCCCGGAAGGGAGTTATTTGGTCCGGCCGCGCCTCAGCCACACGGGACACCAGCGGGACACCGGCGGGACACCGCGGGCCCCCGGCCGCCCGGAAGGGAGACATTTGGTCCGGCCGCGCCTCAGCCACAGGAGACTGTCTCTCGCCCGCCAACGCAGCTTCGCCTCGCCCGCACGGCACGCACGAACACGAAACCGAAATCGATTTTCCGGTAGGGGGGCTCTCCGTTCCACTTCGATCTCACCCCCTCACCTCCGATATATGTACCTATACGACCACCCTTCGGGTGATAAGGAGGTTCGGGGGGGGGGAGGATGCAGCGTCTCACTCGATCGGTCTCACTATCCATCTCACTATCGGTCTCGCTCCATCGATCTCACTCGATCGATCTCACAATCGACCTCACTCGATATACCTCATTCGCTCGGTCTCACAATTGATCTGATTATCGGTCTCACAATCGATATCACATTCGGTCTCACTATCGATCTCACTACCGATATCACAATCGATCTAACATTCAACGTCATCATCATCATCACCAACACCATCATTTTCATCGTCATCGGGACACTGTCGACATCATCATCATCATCGTCATCGTCATCATCATCAACGCCATCATCATCAGGCCATCATCATCATCTTCATCATCATCTCATCATAGTCAGCAACATCGTCATCATCATCGGCACACAGCATTCGTCATCGTCACCATCAGCATCATCATCGGGACACCATCATGGTCACCATCATTGTCATCGTCAACATCATCAACAACATCGGGACACCATCATCATCATTTAATCATCATCATCATCATCATCATAATCAACAGCATCATCAACATCATCGGGACACCATCATCATCAGCACCATCATCGTCACCAACATCATCATCAATATCATCAGCGGTACACCATCACCATCACCATCATCATCACCACCGTCAGAATCATCATCATCGGGATACCATAATCATCATCAGCAGCATCATCATTACCAACATCATCATCATCATCAACAACAACAACGGGCAGAAACATCAACATCATCGTCATCTCATCATCATCAACAACATCATCAACATCACCAGCGGGAAACAGCCATCGTCATCATCACCATCAGCATCATCATCATCGGGACACCATCATGGTTTCCATCGTTGTCATCGTCAACATCATCAACAACATCGGGACACCAGCATCATCATCAGCTCATTATCACCATCATCATCAACAGCATCATCAACATCAACGGGACACCATCATCATCAGCAGCATCATCATCACCAACATCCTCATCATCAATATCATCATCGGTACACCATCACCATCATCATCACCACCGTCATAATCATCATCATCGGGATACCATATTCATCATCAGCAGCATCAGCATTACCAACATCATCATCAACAACGGGCAGAAAATCAACATCATCGTCATCTCATCATCATCATCAACATCAGCATCATCATCATCATCACCAGGACACCATCATCGTCATCATCATCACCATCAACACAACCATCATGATCATCATCAACATCATCATTATCGGGACACCGACGGGGCACCGACGGGACACCGGCGGGACACCGCGGGCCCCCGGCCGCCCGGAAGGGAGTCATTTGGTCCGGCCGCGCCTGAGCCACACGGGACACCAGCGGGACACCGGCGGGACACCGCGGGCCCCCGGCCGCCCGGAAGGGAGACATTTGGTCCGGCCGCGCCTCAGCCACAGGAGACTGTCTCTCGCCCGCCCACGCAGCTTCGCCTCGCACGCACGGCACGCACGAACACGAAACCGAAACCGATTTCCCGGTGGGGGGGCTCTCCGTTCCACTTCGATCTCACCCCCTCACCTCCGATATATATATATATATATATACACAGATTCCCCAATCAGCGCTTGCACTGAAGGGGTCCTAGCGGATGTTCCCCAATCAGTGTTTGCACTGAAAGGGTCCTAGCGGATGTTGAAGGATTTGGCGAAAGTTCCCCGCCAATTTTGGTGGCAGGCTGGGTTCCCGGGTTCCCGGGTTCCCGGTTCCGGGTTCCCGGGTTCCCGGTTTGGGGTTCCTGGCCGATTTCGGAGGGCGACGAGGTTCCCGGGTTCCTGTGTTCTTGATCGATCTCATGACCGATTTTTCGATCGATCTCACCATCGATCTCACAATCGATTACACTATCAATATCACAAGCGATCTCACTAGAGATCGCATAAGCGATCTCGCGATCGATCTCACTATCGATTTCATTGAATCGATCTCACTCTCGGTCACACGATCGACCTTACAATCGATTCCACCATCGATCTCACAATCGATCCCAAGATCCATAGTATCAATGTTCAAGTCATCCACTGATTGGTTTTTCCCAGGTGTAATAAATAGATAAACATATAGAGAGAGATGCATATATTTATATATATATACATGTGAAAGTGTTCCCTCCCAGTTCCCTTACGATGGTTGGCGGAATGGTTCAGACCTAGAATACAGAAAGCACAACCACCACAATGGACAGCTCTGGTACTTGCAGCAGGTTGGAAAGCGGGAGCAGCTCGTCTAGCAGTCGGTCCTCGCCTTTGGCGATGTCTGGGGTGTTTCCGTTGAGACAGTCGTGCCAAGCTGCATCTATTGTGCGTGTGTGCAGAAGGGGAACGTGTCTGTGCACTCTGGCAACAGACCACGGGCTCTGCTGATTCGGGATATGCACCCACCGGAAAATGTCAGACGACAGTGGGGTTTGTTTCCGAGGCTCGTGGCATGGGGTGCCCATTGGTTCTTACAGCAGGCGCATCAAAGACGAGATCGGCTTGCCAGCTGGTGCCCCTCGGAAATTCCTTCTCCCCCGATGGTCCCAGGGACCCACGGAATCCTTGGGGCACCTTGAGACATTCAAAGGTCGACGGAGAATGCCTCCCAAGACTTCTCACAGCACGATTTCTTATCGTGTCTACTGAAGTTTGGCCTCTGCATTGGCCGCAGCGTTGCCAGGGGCATTACACCACTCATCCGAGCCAAAGGGGAAGGAGTCTGGCTCCACATTCGGTGGGACCTTCGAGCAAACTGCACCCTCGGCGCCACGCCCCACTGCACGGAGCTTGATCACTGCGCACACCGACTTACAAAACGAAAGGGGCCTTAATCGGCAGCAGCAAAGTTTGCGATATGTTCGGTTGCGGAGCTAGCCTGAGGCAACAAATGGTCGACCTAGCCCCGCATATGTGATATGTGCGATCACTTCAGCCTCGGGCAGAATTTTGACGAGCCCCCAACGCGCTCGCCCCAACCTGAGACACAGAACTGTCATTGCGCACGATCCCCCTGAATGACAGCGAGGAGGAGGAGGAAGAGGAGGAGAGGAGCGGCAGGAGGAGAGGAGCGGCAGGAGGAGGAGGAAGAGGAGGGTCAGACCAGCGAGTGTAGCGATGGTCTC